TAGTGACTCAATTAATTGCGTCAAATAATTGCGTCAATTGCGTCAAGGATCTACGAATTTCAGCAACATGTATATATAAGACTATTCTAGAATAACTAATATTGCAAGGGTCAATGCTAATAAAAATCGGACAAGAAGTAGTGAAAATCTTGAGTAAAAATTAAGTGTAACAATATGAAAGACAATTGAAAAAAAATTTTTTTTTAAATGAAATAGCTTTTTAACTTTTTGTAACACAATAATATATTAGTATAAGGAATTAAGACTAATTTGTTTTACAGTATTTTTAAAAAATTTTAATTTATATTGTTTTTAATAAACAATAAATATTAAATTTTGTGTTAAAAATTATTTGTAATAATATGTTTCAAAAAATAAAAAAAAAATGCTTAGAACTTAATGATAATAGTAGCAGACAATATTTAAAGTATATAAGCTGTTTTGCAAAGGATTTCTTAAATAAAGTATGTAGATTATTGGTTATTTATTTAATAATTATAATCTAAATTTATAAAAATCTTATTAATTGTAATTAAAAGAAATATAAAAAAAAAATTTCAATTTATTGTTAAAATATTTGGTGATAGTATTATTATTATAACAATGTTATAAGGTAATAGAGAAAAATAACAAATTAATTTTAATTAATTTTTTATTAATAATAAAATAAAGTTATACTTATTTATGATACAAATTATATATTGATTAACATGGTAGTTTTTTATCACATGATTTATAAGAGTGTTTTTTTTTGTTTCAGATTGTAAATTGGTATTTATTTTATTAATAAATACGTAATTAAAAACCTATTTTTTAATAAATTAAGTATTTGATTTATAAATAAAATTAATGCATATTTTTAAAAATAATTTGTATTAATTTATGATACTTAAATTATTGTATAATTGTATTTTTGAACAGTTAAAATAATATTTTGTTCCAAAAATAAAATACAGTATTAAGTCAGTTATTTCAAAGGTATTTCTTTATCTATTAACTTTTTTTTTTTGTTTTAGTATTAACATAGGCACTACAAGTGAAAGGAAGTTTTTATAATTTAAATTAACAATACTATACTCTGATGATTTTCTGAAAATACAAATTGTAGAAACCATTGTATTTTGCTGGAAATACTAACTAATAATCTTTGAAGTATTGTTATTAATCTTTTTTTATCTTTCTGCATCCGAATTTTGATATAAATTATCTACTGTAACTAATCTCTTGATATTGCAATATATTGTAGAGTGAATAGATTGATTTTTCATGCGTCCTCTATACTTCTGTATTATAATTGTAAAATCGCCACTCTCAACTTATCTTTTGTAATACACAAAGTATGAAGGCTTGTATCCACAAATTAGGATCATATATGCGATCGTGGCTTGATTGCGGCATGTGATTAAGTCGTTAAGTCACACGTAAGGTGTATACCACATGCAAAGATTAACAAAACAATTACGTCAATTACGTCAATTTACTTCAAAATTGGGAATGCATCATGACGACCCTTTGCCATTCTACTGAAACAATTATTCACAGTTCTAGAGTATTCGGATCTTTTTAAACCATCATTATTTCTTATTACGGCAAATTAATCTGAAACCAAGGGCTTGTAGCCTTTTATGATGTGGTTATAATGTCTGCTGATTTGTACACTTTCCGGTCAAGATCACCGACCTGTGATTAATCCATTCAAAATTGCTATATATTTGAGCCTCGGTCTCGCACGAGATAAGTCATCGCAGCGCGGGAACTTTCATGGTGGCTGAAATTTTAGTGCACCCCGATTATTCTATTTTAATAGTAAGGTTTCCTGATCGACTGTTTGTTTCCAGCAACGTTTGCGGATATCATTTTCGGAGTTACACACAATTCAATTTCCGACAACCTTCCAATATAAATAGTGCAAGCTGTAATTATAATTGATATTTATTCACTCAAAAATGTCTCGGTAATTTCTTACAAGACTCATGAATATTGTGTTTGGAATACCGAATTACCTTCTTTAATCATCTCGTACCAAATAATCTAGGTATTTGAGAAGAGGTCCATATTCGAAAGCATGTACAAACTGTCGTAAGGCGAAGAAAGGATGCTCAGGTTGTATTAATAAGCAGTGTCAGCGATGCATTAAAAAGGGACTTTTGTGCATTCCTTACAAGAATAATTGCAAAAAAATTGCGGATAAGCATGGTGCTAATTTAATATGATTATCTGTCGCGTATAGTCATCAATTTATCTCATTAAAATTTCGTTTTCTTATATATAGAAACCTGTCTAGAATTATCCTCTACCACGACGGATTTTCAATCCTCTTACGAAGATCAGCAAATAGAACATTCAGAAATGCCGGTCGCAACACAAAATCAAGAACACCATTCGTGCTCCTTTGAAATTATGCATGGAAATAGGGAAAATAAACACATTGCCGACTTAATTCGTCATAATGGCATGTCAAATAATAAATCTAGTTAATCACCGAGCTTATATTTCTCATTTAATCATTTTCACTAATTTCAATCCTCACACAGATCAACCAGAGAAACGCTTACATTCACCTGTTAGTGAAGATAATAATAATGCGTTATATGCTTTACACGAAGATCACGAAACCAACTATATGAACTATGATGACATTTCTGGCTATATGTATTATGGTATTAATGGCTATATGGAATATGATATTAATGAATTGATGGGTCTATCGTCGATACCTTGTGATGGTAAGTGTATGTTAAGTAATTGATTACATTGAAAGGACGACTGTAACATAGGAACCAATACTTTCTTATTTGAATTAACCGATAATTCCCAGATGTTCAAGGCACTTATTCATATGAAAATGGTTGCTACCAAATCTTAAATTACGAATATGCTGATGATTCCATTACCCGCTTTAAAAATCAAGATCTCTATAATGGTATGTAGATAAAATGAGCTTATTTAAATATACGTAGATAACACGGATCCAAATCTAATATGCATTGCATATCATTATTATTATCCTAATTATGACTTACATCTCTTCTATTCCGGCTGCAGACTCCATCTACGTACACGAGCCAACCCACGAAAACTCAAACGAGTTTAAAATTCCTGGGACCGATATCTAAAATAAAATCTTCCTAAATGAGAAAGACATTGATTTTATTAACCCAAATATCAATAGTTGAATTAAATGCGTTAACAAATGAACAATTTTTAAAGTTTCTCTATTGTACATTGTATATTAGGCAATTATCTAAATTATTTGTACTTTATCCAATAAATGTTTAAGACTTGTATAGAATCTGTTTAAGATAAATTGTTTTTCGCGAAAGATATTTTATAAAATTTACTGTTATCATTACATTGCTAAAAGTTGGGACAAGAAATACGGTGTCAATATGAAAGTAATTAATATTATTCAGGGTTTAAAGACTATAAATTCTGGCCCATGTTACTGGTCTGTAATATAAAAAAAAAAAAATTATTTAATCTCTTTTATGTTGACGATATCTCATTAATAACTTTATTGAATATTGTACATCACAATCGTATAATAAATTTTAAAATATAAAAAAGTTCTTATATCTTAAAAAAAAATAACACTTTATAAATAAAAATATAAAGATAGATAAGTTTTAATCTATTGGTTTAATCAAAGATATTATTTGTTCTTATATCATTATTTTATAATATCAATTAACTGTTATTATTATTTCATACACTTGAAATTTATTTTCTTTCATTTTATTCTTCTATTTAATTTGCTACTTTCGTACATATATTATATACCGTACGAATATAGTAATTTTATTATTTTATTATCCGACAATGTCGATAGTTTACAACAACAATGAAAAAAACCGGTGCAACCAACATTTATTACGTCAAAGCATGTATTTTCTATTCATGACATCATCGAATCGCCGGATTCGGATGACAAAAAAACACTGAGGAATTGACATCGGGGATCATTTGTCAAAGAATTTTGGTAATACTACTTTTCACATTTCTTTCTTTCAATTATCGTTGATATTTTCCTTCTTTTGTTTGTACATTGTAACTTGCTGTTTTCTCACAAGTATTCTTCCCGTTCCACAAAATAGTCATAGGAAATTTTTTATTACCATATAAATCCTTATTTACGTGATGAAAAGAACATCTGCATGATGACGCAAGGCTTTTTATAGACGTTTAGATGATGGTATTTATAATCAAAAAAATTTTTTTTCCGCTTTTTGGGGGGCCATTGAAATCAGCTTTCATAATGCATTATTTCATGATTTTTTGGGACTCCTCAGTAAGGTTTAATTAATAATAAATTCATATTTTATAAATTACTTTTGGTAATCGCGGACGTAAGAAAATGCGACGATGATTCTTGAAAATAATAATAAACACAGTATAATGCCTGGTAAACCAATTTTTATTTTTTTTTTATGTGCTAATTTAAACCTTAGAGAAGAGTTTCATGTTCGAAAGCGTGTATTAACTATCATATGACAAAGAAGGAATGTTCTGGTTATATTAATAAAAAATGTCGACATGCACCGAAAGACGACTCTTTGTATTCCTTGTAAAAAAACAACTATAATATATTTAATAATAAATATGATTTAGTATTTTAGTAAATCTATTATTTTATTTACTGCACGTTCGGTTATTAACTAGGTAAATGAGAACCATTTAAAGTCCGAAGGACTATCTCACTAACACATGCAACAACATCCCCTATTTATACATTCCTTGGTCCATTTATCGTTTAAATTAGCTTATCGATCTCTATCATGCCAATGATTTTTGTCGTGATGCGAAAATACATCATGTAATCGTGACCCAAAAACTCAACTCCTAATTGTCCGAAGGACATTAATTGTATTAACTGTAAATGAGTTATACTGTATAATAAAAAAAACTCCGTTAAATTTATACTGTATGCCGCTATCACTTATGTATCACGTGATCGGAAGGAACACATATCCGGATCACTGTTGCTGTACATTAGAGTGTCCTTCGGACAATTAATATCTTTTTATCTAGGGCTTTCCCAGAATTCAATTCTCTTACGAAAATCGGCTAATGGAACCTTCAGATATTTAATATATCTATTCACAAATCCTATCCGTACTTAGTTGAGTTTACTCATGGCGATTACAAACAGATTATTCATAGTTAGGTACTGTATACAGATTGAATCCAACATCATAGTGCATTTATATTTTCCCCAACCCCTTCACTTTTCTCTTCTCTAAGAATTCACAATTCTTTCACGTGAATCAACCAGTGAATTCCTCAAATTCTCCACGTTACACGAATACCCTAAAATATAAATTAATGTGAAATTTATACTACACGTTAAATGTGTTGAAAAAAGAACTCATAATTTCTTTGACTCATTTTTTATCTTTACAATTAACCTTTTTTTTATACTTATATATGAATCTATTTATAAACCCTTGAGGCATTCATATAGAGAATTATTAGAGAAGTTAACTATAATAATTACTGTCGAAATTAAAGTAACCTTGGACATGCTGTATAAGCGTTTTAAACAAAATATATTATGAACATTATATATATTTACACCTAGGCAAATGTATGCTGTATATTAATACCAGAGGCTTTTAAACCTTATATTGTATATAATTTATCGCCTGTTTTTTTATAATCGAAGATCAAGTGGTTCACTTTAAGATATCAAGTCGCTTATTATGAAAAACTTTTTGTATGATCAACTCCTTTATTATGAAGTTATTGGAGCAAACTTTCGTATACTATATAACATATATTTACAGTATGTACACAGTTGCCTCATTACATAGTATAACTAATATATCAAATTTCGCAATAGCAGTTTCATGTGTAGCTTAATGTGCAATGGAAATCTCATGCACTGTACACACTGTTAATCCAAAAATCAGCCAACATGGAAGTGGTTAGTTTGTTTGATTCGATTTTTGATTGTCGGATAAACCCAATAAATTTAGTAAGGTTTAAGAAATTATAGTAAGTTTGATTTATATTTTGGCAAACAATTTAATTCATTGTTTAATAAATAAACTATTTGTTATGACTTCTTTTAGGTCGGATCGCAGTATTATACTTGCGCGATTTTTGCGGTGATGTGGCGATACCTAGTCATGTGATACCAATTCGATAATACAGTAGTAGGAATTATAATCAAAATGGTTTCCATTGAAATAAAGTAGTCTAATATTAAATGGGAATCGTTTGCAAGTGTATGCCGTTTATTATTTAAAATGTTCTTGTAAGTACAAAAATTACATTCAACACGTGTATTAAAAATAAACAATAATATACTATATAAGATAAAGCAATTTGCAAAAGATACGGTATAATAAATCTTCGGATTTTTTTAAAGTCTAAGTGAACCAATTAATTTTTTATTAAAGTAATAATAAAATATTTTATTTATTCAATAATTGAAATAATTTTAAATTCCTATATAATAAGATGAAATATTTTATTTTAAAAATGATAATATCGAATTATTATGTATATAGTGCATAACAAAATTTTTTGGAATTTTATTACTTAAAAATAAATATATCTATCATTAAAATCCTTATTTGTTTTATTTTATAGATTTATCCTTATATTATTTTTTTCTAAAAAAATGCATACAACATTAAACTATATTATATTTATTAAAAATAAAATTATTTCGGCATATAAAATATATTATAAAACAGATATAAACATATCAACTATTTATCATAATCTTAAAAAATCAGATTTTTAAAAAATAATTCAAGTAAATTAAAAAATAATAAAAAGATTTACTTATTATTATCCATAAAAAACTTGGATTAATTGAATAAAAATATTTTAATCATAATAAAAATTTTTTTTGTTTTTTAATAAAATAATATTTGACTATTTAAAAATATATTCATTTGATAATATAAAAATGCAAAAGCAATTAAAAGTTATTTAAAATGATATTAAAATTTTTATATGAATGAGATTTTATTTATTTATTATTTTATTTTATAAAATATTTAAGGATTCTAATAATTTAATTTGAATTAATTCTTGATTCTCAGGTTTATATTAAATTTAATATGTGAGTTATAAATAATTTATAAATAATTTATGTCTACTTATAAATAGTTAAGTTAAGGAAGAAAATAATAAAAATTTTTATAATCAGGTTTTGAATATATTGTTTAAATCTATAAAACTATAATAGTAACTTTGTTTAATTAAAATTTGATTGAATAGATTTTAAAATAATAATTTGGATTTATATATTCATATAATAACTGTTTAAGGACTAAGTAAGACATGTAAAAAGTCTAATATTTTTATATTTCTATAATATTAATATTGGAAATGTTTTATTAGAAAAGTTATTAAAGTATTTTATATATAATATTGTTGTTATTATTGTTTCAAACAGGTTTTAATCAATTTAATTATAAAATTTTGTTATTGAATTTTGATTAATTATTAAGTTTGTATTAATTGTTTGAAGGAATAAAATTATATATATGGTATAAATTATTTGCTATTGACTCAATTCCTAAAATTCTCAAAAATAATTGCATTATGACTTAATTATTTATATGTTTTAATAAGAACTCAATTAATTGTATCAAATAATTGTATCAATTGTATCAAGAATCTACAAATTTCAGCAACATGTACAAATAAATTTAAAATAGTATAATATTATATATCAATAGAAAAATAAAAAGAATGCAAATTATAAACTTGATAATTTTGCTTAAATATAATTTTAAATATAATTTTATAATATTAAAAATTATTATGAAAATAATATTAATGAATTTTATAATGTTAAAAATTGATATAAAAATAATATTAATGAATTTTAATAAAAAGAACTATTATAAGTCCTTTTTTATATAATTAAAGAACAAACAAGACTCTAAAATATATTTGACCTTTAATTAAAGATTTTATTTAGATGAAATAATGATAATCTTTATGTTTTTAAGCTTATAATATAATTAATATAAAATATAAAAAGTACTTTTTTTTTTGAAAAAAATTATTATAAAAGAAAATTTTCAAAGAATCAATAATAAACAGATAAGAGTTTTTTATTTATCATATTTATTTATTTATTATTTTTTTATAG